TAACAGTAGAAAAGAAAGCTCTTAGCACAACTCTTAGACAGTTGAAGCTTCTGTAAAACTCTCCAGAATATCTCCAACTACACACTTAGAAACAGCACTTAGATGAAGCAACCAATTCCACTGAACACGCGTTGCACTGAATGGACCCTTCTGCTAACATAGGGCTTGATTTAATTCTTCTAGACAAACGTTTAATATTATTTTCCACATATTAAACATCAAAAGATATTTCATGTTTAATAAAATATATATTTATACTAACAAGTAGATAGTCAGCACTCAAGGTCTTGTAAGAAAATAATTGAATAATACAAAGATCCCACAATCGGTCAACGTTTCAGTTCAATTCAAAGAACTTTCATCAGGAAAAGATTTCAAAAAGAATGAACAAAACCGCTCTATATATAAGAAGAAACACACTAACCAATACCCCAATCACTTGTGTGAGCGTCTAAAATTCCTCCATGCGTCTACGTGCCATGTAGAACTCCCCCCCACCCCCTATAACGTCATAACAAGCCGTGCCTATGGAACTGTTACCATGGTGACATAGGTAAACATACAGCGAAATATGTCGCAAATATTACAGAGGGGATAGGTGCTGTAAATCAACTGTATTGAAACCCCTTATAGCCACCAAATTCCTAGAATGATATATATGACAGTAATAAGCAGTAGTAATAAGACCAGTGTTAGATCGAAAAATGATCACTGTGCAGAGTCATAAACAATAGTGATCGCCCAGAGATAAAGTGCTATGTATACGTAAAAGCCATGTGAGGTGATACTAATATCAATTTAATATAATTTAATGTAATATAAAGTGCCAGAGTGTAAAATGTACGAATGGAATACAATACCACATGTAGAATAAAGTGCAAAGTGCATAGATAATCCCAGTATCATAATAAAAAAATGATTAGAAAATTATTTTAACTTTTCATTGTTATACTATGAAAATGTAAAATAATTTTCTAATAATTAGTTATGACGTTATAGGGCGAGGTTCTACATGGCACGTAGATGCATGGAGGAAGGTTAGACGCTCACACACAGGTGATTGGGGTGTTGGTTAGTGTGTTTCTTCTTATATATAGCGGTTTTGTTAATTCTTTTTGATACTATGTCCTGATGAAAGTTCTTTGAATTGAACTGAAACGTTGACGGATTGTGGGATCTTCGTATTATTAAATTCACTTCTTACAAGACCTTGAGTGCTGACTATCTACTTTTTGTTGTATATTGTGCAGCCGAGCACAGGGCAAAAAGACTGGGAAGCTGGAGTGTAGGACCTAAGAATTGTATATATGTATATGTAAAAAAACAACGAAATTATAAAACATTTTTTGAAATATTAAATTATTTGAAAGCAACTGCAGCCATAGTTCTATTAGAAGTTGCCATTATTTGGGTCCAGGATGGCAGGACAGAGCTTCTCATCCTGCATGGTGTTAGGGAAGGGCATGGAATATCTGACCCGGGTTGTGATGTTGAGGCCAGGCAGATATGTTAAAGCTTCTCCTTAAAGTAACTGATTTCCCTCCTGTAGCATACGAACACTGTATACCGTAATTTTTATGTTTTTTCCTTTAGAATGAAGGAGTTATATGCACCCAGGAACACATTACAGATCTGGAAATCCAGATTGTGGCCATTGCCAGGTGGGAAATGTCCTCCAAGCATCGCATGGTGGGACTAGGAATCCTCGCTACACAGAACCAAGCAGGCAGCTGCCTCTTTTAGAAGAATTAACTTAAATCAATCACCATACTATGTATAGGTTTACATTTTTATACTTCAATATGTTAATAAATAAATAATAATAATAATAATATTAGATAATAAATACTTTCTAGATGATTAATTGAATTTCAGAGTTTTTAAGCTCCTGAGATCTTCTCTGACACCGGATCGGATCTAAAGAATATATTCCAAAACGATGAAACTGAACAAATATTGCAAGCATCACTAAAAGGCTGGTCAGCATTAAATAATCCGAAAAATGAAATCTTTGCTATTTTAACTGTATGGTATATAATTAGAAGAGTTTCATACTGGCTGTACATGTTCTATTTAGTGTGATTGATTGAGGCCCAATATATTAAACTAATATGCACACACTCAGGTCTTCTAATGCTGCTAGATAAATAGACTGTAATCAGGACTGCACTTTATCATTTTGTCAGCAGATGTCTGCTATTGTTTGCCCTCTGTCTTATCTTCTGGAAGGTGGAATAAATTGCTCTACCTTTCCATTTCAACTACAAAAAGAGCTGATATGCCCTACTTGTATTAACCTCTTCCCACCATTGATACATTAACTATTAGAATGCCTGAGCTACTCCCTATGGCTATGTATCTGGCTAAGGTTGCAGACCCAAGATGTTTTCATACACATGTATAACTTGTAAATATTGTTGGGTAGTGCATGTAAAGTGCTTCCTTGGAAGGAATTGTATTAAATTCATTAACCCCTTAAGGACACATGACATGCCATGATTTCCTTTTATTCTAGAAGTTTGGTCCTTAAGGGGTTATTCAAGGAATAGCCAAAAAGATGAGGTCTGGGTATTTAATTTATTCCAACTGGATGGCTGCTTATTTCCTTAAACTGAACCTTACCAAAATAGAACTTCTGGTCTTTCCTCCATCAAGTGTTGCTATTCTGTGTCTGTGTCTCTCCAAGTCGATATCACTGCCACCCGCTCTACCTCTAAGGCTCACTGCCTAGGTGTTCTCATTGACTTCGACCTCTCCTTCATTCATCAGTCAATCGCCAAATCCTGCCGCTTCCATCTCAAAAACATACCTCGCATCCGCCACTACTTAACGCCTGATACGGCAAAGGTGCTGGTCCATGCCGCTGTCCTCTCTTGCCTTCACTACTGTAATCTGCTTCTCGGTGGTCTTACATGTTCCCAACTTGCCCTGTTATAGCAGGGGGCTATATCTACATCTCCACGTTTTAGTATTTTTTATAGGTAAGGGTTACTTGTATACTTTTCAAGGTCAACCTGAGGTCTGCCATGGACAGTATGAAGTATCCTCAATAGGTTTATCTTTTTTTGCCAGGTTTACATTTTTTTTTATTTTCAAGAGACTTATGGATTTTTATCATAGTTGTAACCACGCTATGGTCACTTTGCCCCATATTTGCAACAACTGAATTGTACATAATGCATTTAATTTCCTCCCTCGTTGTTGGGACAAGTTTACCACTTGGTTTGGGATGGAATGATGGGAGGAACTGTTACATGTTTTCTCTTGTATGGCTTTAGAACACAGCAATTTAGCTTCTCTTGTAACCCCTCAATTCTGCTTAGTTTGCAGTTCAATCTCATACGGTAGGTGGCGCTATCAAACGTCTTTTAGTCCCCAGTCAACAGAGAAGTCAGTTCTTATAAATAAGGGATGAATCCAAAGCAGGCGTGGAACAGATTTATCAGAATACTGCACATTTATTCTTTATTTAAAAAATATATAACATCAGTTTTAGATTCCACAGTTTTTGTAAAATTAAGTCCAACCTGAGCCCCTAAAAACCTCAAACTGCCACGGTCTTCTTAATTTCCCTCTATTCTGTATCCTATCTTACATCTTCTTTCCTTTCTACCATTGGTTTTCTCTGGGGCTTGCCAAATATATCATTTCTTCTGCTTCTGGGGTTATGACCCATATCCGTTGGTGATTGCAATGTTTGACCTCACCTGAGGTTGCATATTTGTAAAAGGAACATTCTAAGCACTAAGACAACTTTAGCTTAAAGGACCACTATAGGCACCCAGACCACTTCCGCTCAATGAAGTGGTCTGGGTGCCAGGTCCCCATAGTTTTAACCCTGCAGCTGAAAACGTAGTTTGAGAGAAACTGCTATATTTACACTGAGGGTTAATCCAGCCTCCAATGACTGTCTCCATGACAGCCACTAGAGGTCAATTCTGCGATTCACACTGAGTTCTTACGGAGTTCTTACGGAGTCCAGCGTCAAAAAAGATCCCCATAGGAAAGCAGTGAGTAATTCTTTCCTGTGGGTGGGTTTGAATCTGCGTGCGCCTCTGGCCGAGCATGTGCATTCGGCTCCACTCGGAAGCTGACGTCGAAGGAGGAGAGGTCACCAGCACCGAAGGAGCCCTGTTCTGAGTAAGGGTAAGCCAATAAATGGTTAACCATTTATTTGCAGTGGAACGGGGCCCTAGTCATCTAAACAGTGACCAGGGATTTATAGCGGTAGGAATACATATTTGTATTCCTACCGCTATAGTGTTCCTCTAATGAAGTAGTTTTTGTGTGTAGATCATGCCCCTGCATTCTCACTTCTCATTTCTCTGCCATATAGAAATAACTTTGTTTAGACAGCCCTGGTCACATCTTCACTGGCTGTGACTGACACAGCCCACAAAAATAAAAAATAAAAAAATCATTTTACAGCACAGTGTGTTTACTTTAGTGGTTCGTATATCCTGCTCTGTTATCTGAACTTTAACCACACACAGTAGGCTGCAGGCAATAAACATCTCACAAGACAGGGAATTCTAGGGAGGGAGGCTGTGTAACTCACAGCTATGGAATGTTTGGCTAGACTTACCTCCTAAACAGCAGAGAATTGAGCAGTGAAACTGCAGGGGCATGATCTAAGCTAAAGCTATCTTCGTGATTAGAATGTCCCTTTACCAGCTTAAACCTTTACCTATCTGGATCAGTCCTATGTACTTGTAAAGGCAGAATATGTGGTTTTGTAGGTACTGGTAACGATCTTATATGTATAGCTGTAAGGGAGTTAATTGCCTCATACCTGTACATAAGCAATATTAGAACATATTCACATAATAGTCTAAACTACATTTTCCACCAATATAACTGGTTTTAAGGCTGGCCTTCTCTTTCTTTCTGATTGGATATCAGATATGCCAGAAGAATTTGTAAGAACAAGTCACATGATAGGCCTCATTGTGTGCTCTTAACTGAAGTATGTTGAGAAATGAGAGCTCATTCTTGTTATTTCATTTCTGGACTCTGGTTTGCCCTGGGTGGTCTTCACACTTCTGCACAGCGTTGTCCTCTCTTATAGTTTGGTTCCTGTGACTTTTGAGATGAATCAGTTTTTCCACCAAGTCGGCCAAGAGATTAAAAACCAGAGCGAGCCACGCAAGGCCAAATATAATCCAGAGCGCCGCTAAGCTCCTATAGATGGAAATATAATGCTTGTTTGGGTCCGTTCCTACACAAAAAAGAATGTAAATAGGGTTAAAACTGTTATTTTTCATGGTGTATATTTTTTTAATGTTAAATATTATTTTAAGGAAATTGTATTGTGCACCTGGAGTAGCCTTTCAGGGTAAGATGTACATCACAACGGGTAACAGAAACATTGCGTGTAAGTTGCGTGCTGCCAGTGAGCTCATTACAAACCAGCCGCCAATGCATAGCGAATTAAGTGCTCACACAAGCACTAAGCATTGCTGATCCACACTAGTGCATGCACAATTGTAATCAATGACTCACATGCAAATATACCTTTAATACAATTAAATAGATTTCTCTGATGTAACTAATCCAGGCTGGTGGGACTCAGGTCCAAAATTTAGGCAATCGCACCTGAACTTTGATACAGAGATTTAGTAGTTTGAACTCAGGGCTCTCAAGATACAACACTGATTAGCCATAACATTAAAACTGGCTGCCTTATATCCCCCATGTGCTGCCAAATGCATCGAGGCATTGACTCCAAAATACCTCTCAATGTTTTCAGTGGTACCGGACGTCAAGGCATTAGCAGCAGATCCTTTAAGTCCTGCATGTTGTGAGATCATTGATCGGTTTTGTAGTTCCAGCACATCCCAAGAATTAGAGGGTCAAAGGAAAATCTTCTACTCTTTGTCATGTTCCTTAAATTTATTCCATACAATTTTTGTAGCACGGTAGGGTTTGTTATCCTGCTGAAAGATGCCATCTGGAAACACCATTGCCATGAAGGGTTGTATTTGGTCTGCAACAATTTCTAGGTATATGGTATGTGTCAAAGTAACTTCCACATGAATAGCACGGCCTAAGGTTTCCCAGCAGAACATTGTCCAGAGCTTAACATAGGTAAAGGACACACACACACCAGGCCATCCATCTGATCTAAAAGAAAATGTAAGTCATCAGACTTGGCAACCATCTTCCATTGCTCCACAATCCAGTTCTGACGCACGTCCCCATTGAAGGCACTGTCAACAGTGGCCAGGGGTGATCATGGGAAGTATCTCTGACTGGTCTGCGGCTACTCCTCCTCATACGCAGCAAACTTAGATGAACTATGTGTTATGAGACCTTTCTATTATGGCTACCATTAAGTTTTTGAGCAATTTGGTCTACAGTAGCTCTTTTTTGGGATCGGACTCCCAACATGCATCAATGAACCTTGGGTGCACATGATCCTGACACCAGTTCACCAGTTGCCCTATCTTGCACCACTTTTGGTTGACACAACAATATTTTTGATAGGTACTAACCAATGCATATCAGAGACACACCAAAAGACTTGCCGTTTTGGAGATGTTCTGACCCATTTGTCTAGCCATCACTATTTGGCCCTTGTCAGAGTCACTCTTTTCACTTGCCCATTTTCCTGCTTCCAACACATGGAATTCAAGAACTGACTGTTCACTTGCTGCCTGATATATCCTATGCCTTAGCAGGTGTTATTGTAACGATATAATCAATGTTATTCACTTCACCTGTCAGTGGGTTTAATGTTGTGACTGATCAGTGTATGTCTATTTATTTTTGTCTGCTAGTTGCTATATATTTTTTTATCCATTTGGCATGACAGGAGCACTATAACAAAACCACACTGGCCAGGATAAGGAGAAAAACATCTATTTCATGCCAAGCAATTATTACGCACATTGTAAATTCCAGTGACACCAGACTTTTTTCAACAATTGCACAGAATTGCGAAAGAATGATAGATTTCAGGGCACACTAACATGGTGTGACAATGTGAATGGGTTGGAATGGCATACCTAACACGTAATCTCCAAATCCAATGGTGCTGAGGGTGATAAACGCAAAGTAAAACCCCTCGCCGTAGCTCCAGCCTTCCACGTAACTGAAGATCATGGGAGGGAAGACCAGGAATAACAGGGAGCCAGTTGTGAGATAGACCGCCATCATCATTATCTTCATTATCTGAAAATCCGAGTTTAGTCACAATCAATGGAATCCCTGACACATGGATCATTGCAAAGCACTCAGAGAATAACATATAACATGATATATAATAAGTAACATATATAACTATGTAACTATATGTAACATTGCATATAAAAGGGATGGGTCAACATTCAGAGTAGGATTTGACAGATAAATAACTTATTTGTTAGTAGTTACATTTTTTTGTTGCAGATACATATTATAAATCTTGGGAGATTCATCATGGATGATTCATGGGAGAGTCTTGGGAGATTCATCATGGGTGCTTTCCCGCAGTAACAACCATCAAATATTGTGGAATTTTATTTTGAAAACTGAGACCACTGTTCAACTGAGACCACTGTTCAGTGAGCGGATAATTTCAAGAAATTCCCAGATTAAATGGCCGCCACGTTCGCCCAACCTTTCAGCTCCTTATTTATTCCTGTGGGGATATGTGAAGGAGCGGGTGTACGTGAACGAACTACCTACACTTGAGCAGCTCAATGAGAATATCCGTAGAAATTCAAGCGCTAGAGCCTCATTAATTAACTAATGTTATGAACAATGCAATTGAAAGAGCCGGTCCTGCGAGGCAGCAAATGGAGGTCTGTTAATACCTAGTCAAATAAAATCTCCACACGTTAAGCACTCATTGTGTGTAATATCATTGAAATTGGTTAGTTAATAAAAAAGTTAATTGACTTCTTATCCCCTTCTGTAATATATACCATTTGCATATAATATGTAGGACATATAACACTGCAGCAGTACGAATGCCCATAGCATGACATCGAGTCCATTACTGGTAAACCTGGCTAGTGCTCCCTGGTTCGTTGGGCAAGAGTTCATGATGAAATTTAAGGTATTTTTTTATTAGCCAGTTATTTTCATAGAATCCTATTTCCAATTGCTTATGGTTTGTCGTGAACGAGGACCTTTTTCCCTGGTGATACAGTGGCTGCGGTGGTGGTTTACCCATTTTCCCACAGCAGACACCTCTCTCTCCCCCTCTCTCAATGCCATAGCATGACTGAATGATATCTGGTGCCGAGTTATGACATCTGCTACTTGATTTACACAGTGTAAAAATCGAACAAGACATGCAATGTCCACTCACATGGGCTGGCCCTGTATTTCTTCATAGTTCTGTGATATTATTTTATTTATCAATTACTTGTTGCTTCATACTTGTATAACTGCACAACGCTGAAGTTTATATTGGTAATATATAAATTATAGCGTTGCATCATGTATAATTTAGGTATTACATTGGTCAAATAGGGGCAGTGAGAGTGAGAGGAATATGCAACCAGGAAATGGTTCCAAACCTCCTACATCGGCCGCTGGATCTCGCAGGAAGCTCCACCAGCTGCTCTGGGAAGGTGGTGTTTATACCGCATTTGTCAAAATCAAACCACAAAAAGACACAAAGTCTGTTTCTGCAAAAGGAATAACCTTACTATTAACTCTAAATTATCCAAAACAAAAAGTAAAGTAAGGTTTGTTCTAGATTAAGGTAATGAGCCTAAAATATAAATGCCTTAATTCATTCAGACATGGAGAGATGGGGACCACCTGGGTAGAAGTTCACTCTTCAGTATTTTACTAATCCCACTACCCTCTCCCGCAGCCGGGAATATATAGACAATCAGGGCTGGATTAACATAGGGGCTGAGAGAGCTGCAGCTCCAGGCCCATTGATTGAAAAAAAATATAAAAAAACTTAACTACTCTTCACATGCTCTTGCTTAAGTATGAAAACTTAAGAGGGATGTTGGGGAACAAATGTTGTGTAAACTGGCTGACAATGAAATTAGTTAAGGTAAACTTTGCGCACTATGCAAACACTCTTGTTGTTACTTCAGTCTCTCTAACACTATGGCATGTTCCCTTTCTTCTGCACTCACAGCATATACTTTTCTCTGTCTCAGACTATATACCAGGAGCTTCTGCCTGCTAGTAAGAAGGTTAGGAGAAGAGCGGACAAGTGAATGCTACGGGACAGTCCTTAGAAAGCATAGAGCGAGTGCATCATTAGACGCATTTATGCCAAGTTTAGGGTGCTCTCTGCACAGTATGCCCTTAGCTGGCCACCCTGGCAAACAGTTTGACATGCATTCATGCCAGGCTGACCATCTAATTCTTTGGGCAAACACACCCCCTGATTTTCGTCACCAGACGCCCACCTACATCCTTCTTCACCGGACCTGCTGTTAGGGGATATGGATTTACTTGAAAGATGAAAGCGAGAGATTAGCATAGGGTATGTGTTTTCTGATAGTTAGATCCTTTGAGTTTCCCTCCAACACCACCTCCACCAGATACATGACGCTTGGGAGGTATAACTGTTTTAGTGTTTCCTGTCGATAAAATTCTGTAATTAGGCCCATCATAATTGTCAGCACCAGGCCCAATGGGCTCCTACTCTGGCCCTGTAGACAATACAATAAACTGGCTGCTATAATAAACTCTACCGTTATTTAATTATCCTTTAAGGGTCAAAGCCGTTAATACAGAAATTAAAGTCAGTTATAAACAGTGGTATTTCCCCTTATGAAAACTGCTTATGACTATGTGTCGCTCAGAGCACAAAGCTCGGTTTAGCTTGTTTAGTTCTTTCAATTTGTAATGTCTAAAATATTCTACCTCTTAATTTTATATTTTTTGAGACACAATAAATACTTTATATGATTTTAAATGACACTGACGGTTTTATTCTACTTTACTGTGTGCGTTCATATTAAGATCCCAGAGGAATCCTTCTAGAATAATAAATCTGAGATTTCAAGGATCAGGAGCACCACTTGTCTCAGCGGAATGTGAGGCTGATAACTGTACAGGCAAGATAATGGAACATTATTGTAGGATAGATACCCCCGAGCCTTCAGGTTCTTGTGCACATCTTCCTAGTGCCAGCAGGTGGGCATTTAACCCTTTCCCAATAAGGTTTAAAAATGCCACATTGAGAGGAATCCCAAACAATGCATAGAACACGCAGAAAACTTGTCCGGCAACAGTGCTGGGGTATAAATTACCATAACCTGAAAATAAGCAGAACATTGAGAATTAGTGCCCAGATGATTACTCTGTCGGGCATGAGAAGATCCCATTCCCAGCAGAATCAAACTATTAGTTTATAATTTATTAATTAAAGGACTAACAGTTGGCAAATTATGGGCAAATATAAAATATTCAAGCTGGAAATATAGCAGAGTGTAAGTATTCTTTACAATTCACAATCTTGGCCTAATATTTGTAATTCCCCCTTGATTCTCTCTAAGTATCAGTTTAGTGATTACATAAATATTAAGGATATAAATGCAATAAATATATATATTATATGTGCATGTGTATGTTATGTATATTTATGTGTGTATATAAAGATTCCAAATGCCAGCACTCTGCCCTGATAAACGTTCTGAAAAGTTGACCTAGATTTCTTTTGATACAATAAAGTAGAAATAGTTTATTTTAGTCTTTTAGCGTGCTGGTATTTGGAATATTGTTGTATACGAGTGTGTGCAGTGACAGAATTATTTGCTGCTTTCAAGACTGAAATTAATAGCTTGAAATTGCAGTTTTTTTGAGTCTCCCTGACAATTTAATTGTCCTGTGGTTCTCATGGTCATGGATCTGGGACCCTCATCGTAATTACTTTGGGACTTTCATATTCCTTCTCCTGTGACCTTAATTGTTATTGAGCTGTGATGGTCACTGTCAATGTCCTGTGACTCTCATTGCCATTGTTCTGACACCCTTATAGTCATTGACCTGTGACTCTCACTGTCAATGCCCTGTGACTCTCATTGTCACTGTTCAGGGACTCTTATTGTCATTGACCTGTGTGACAAACCCTGTAATTTCCCTTGCCCCAGTTATTTTTTCCTGCATTCAGTAGTTGGATCTACCAAACACCGACTACCCCCCTGGCTCATTTAACTTCAAAGTAACCACAAGGTCAAGTATTCTCCCTGGGCGGCCGCCGTTCGTATAATCGAACAACACGTGCGCTGAAAAACGCATCTGGTGTCCCAAAAGCAGGCAGCGGTACTTGGTCGTCGAGTGTCTGGAACTCTAAATTGGACACTCAACCTCGCGAACACCGGTAAGTTTGTACAAACGCCTGCTTCTATTCTTGACAAGCCAGCAGAGCACTATTTGGAAAAAAGGTACTCATGAACCAGAGGAACATTCGCTACCTGTGAGCCAGGGGAACCGTTTGGTATTTTATTTGTTTTGGGACTCCCGAAAGTGACTGCTACCACTTCTATCATGGAACTTTTCTGGGCAGACTCTACGTGTGCGGTCGGTCAAAACTTTACCCAAGGGGCGATTTGGCTGTATTCATGGAATCTGAGCACTATTTGGACACTTTGGGCACTCAGATCCAGGCTATCTGGGGATATAGGATTTCTGGGGTCCCTATTAATATTATGTATGCTTTGGGTTGTTTTATGTTTTATATGTTGTAACTCTAGTGCTTGGGAGATAATTAGATTAAGGGAACTCAATTATCTCCCAGACACAGAGACTCCTGGGCGTGTTTTACGGCGTGTTCATGCTGGGGGTCTGTGTATAAAAGTGGGCCACATGGCCATAATAAAACATTCCAGTTGTACCCTTCATCAAGTCTCGACTGATGTTTGGGTATGCGAACTAAAAAGCGCTTGATTTTTTTCTACCAACTGCTTGGATTTCGGGAGAGTACGAATTAGCGTGCTATGCAAACGGAATATAATCACTTAAGCCTCTAGCAGTTCTGGAGTATGAGAACGAACGTACTATACAAAGTACAAGGAGTTCGTTACAACCTGTGACTCTCATTGTCATTGTTCTGGGACTCTTACAGTCATTGACCTGTGACTCTCATCGTCATTGTTCTGGGACTTTTACAGTCATTGACCTGTGACTCTCATTGTTATTGTTCTGGGACTCTTATTGTCATTGACCTGTGACTTTCATCGTCATTGTTCTGGGACTCTTACAGTCATTGACCTGGGACTCTCATTGTTAATGTTCTGGGACTCTTATTGTCATTGACCTGTGACTCTCACCGTCATTGTTCTGAGACTCTTGCAGTCATTGACCTGTGTCTCTCATTGCTATTGTTCTGGGACTCTTATTGTCATTGACCTGTGATTCTGTTCGTCATTGTTCTGGAACTCTTACAGTCATTGACCTGTGACTCGCATTTTCTTTGCAATTCCTGCCAATTACCTATAGTTGTGATGACGGTTCCAGCAAAAAAGAAGGAGTTGCTAAAGTCCCAGTTGCTTGGATTGGTGGCATTTCCTTTCGGATTCAAGCCCTTCTCCCAGGCCTCCATTATAATCTGAGGAAGATCGATGGTGTTAGATATTGTATGTAACATTGTATCATCCAACAACAGAATCCCATCACTCGATCATTATCACTTTAAATTAAACATGGTAATTGTATTCGATAAAACTATAAAACATATAATGTATTTTTTCTTAAACACTAATACCATGTAATACCATGTAATAGGTTCATAGACAGTTTGACAAGCTTCATTTCGTTGGACAGTTTCAGAAGGGATTGAGGTATTTTGGTGCCAACTTTTTAGATAGGAACATATGTAATTAGGATATTATTAGGGTAGAATCTTGAATTAATGTTATAGCATGTGATGCGTGTAATGAGTCAAGTGATGAATAATCGCCAGCAAGGGCTAATATTGTATTATAACGCAGTGCATGGTTAAACTAATCTATTTAAAGAATACATATCAAAAACCTATTCCAGCAGGTAAAGGACATGCTGTTGTTCTCTCTCGCCTTGAGTATTGCAATCCCCTTCTCACCGGTCTTACATGTTCCCAGCTTGCACCACTGCAATCTATAATGAATACGGCTGAGAGGCTTATTTTCCTGTCCGGTCGCACCTCCCACGCCTCCACGCTCTGTCAGTCCCTGCATTGGCTTCCAGTTAGATATAGGGCCCAATTCAAAATTCTGGCGCTTGCTTACAAATCACTACATAATGCTGCTCCAACATACCTATCCTCCCTCATACACAAGTATGTCCCGACGAGACCCCTGCGCTCAGCCCAAGACCTACTCCTATCCTCTGCCCGGATCCCCACCTCTGATGCTCGCCTTCAAGACTTCTCCAGGGCTGCACCTATTCTGTGGAACTCCCTTCCCTCCTCAATCAGACTTTCACCCAGCCTCCACTCCTTCAAAAAATCTTTGAAAACTCACTTCTTTATTAAAGCGTATCAATTAAACTGTCAGCAGGTTTCTCATCCCCCACCCCATGACTCCGTTCCTGCACCTGTCAAAAATGACCTACCAAGCACTCAATAAACCCTTCTGTAACAAACTATTTAATTCCCCTACTTTAACCCTTTGTGTCACTATACCCCACTCCCTCTAGCATGTAAGCTCATCGAGCAGGGTCCTCAACCCCCTCTGTTCCTGTACGTCAGTGGTCTGATCTCAATTATGTGTCTGTTAGTCCACCCATTGTACAGCGCTAAGGAATTTGTTGGCGCTATATAAATAATAAAATAATAATAATAATAATATAATAATTATATATCACAGAAGTGTCTGTTTACACCATTTTTATTTAACTGATGTGATTTTTCTAAAGACAAGCTTTCAGGAGATCCTCCCTTTATCAAGGCTAAAACACTGATAACCTATATGACACAAAGAATTTAAAGATGCAATGTGATAAAGAAACAACATAGGTTAAATCAACATCACAGCATATAGTACATAGCGTAAATTAGGCTAGGAGTCTAAAAGAGAGATATAGACACCATTTTTTCGGGGCATGCCTCCCAACTCCAGTGTCTTAAGAATTGGTGGAAGGAGGTAAAGGGACGGACCAGTGATCCAATTGTGTTACTAGCGCCACACCCAAAATAGAAGTCCTATCGGAAAGTGGACGGGTTAATGGCAGGTCAGCCTGGTATGAATACACATCAGGCTGCCTGTCCATCACTCAGGCCGACCCACGAGGGCAGGACATGCAGGGAGCACTGTTTAAGCCCTGAACATAACATGAGCACTCGTCCTATGATTGTTAAGGACAGTTCTCTAGTGTCCCCATAAGTGGAACAGCAGGGAACTAGTGGGTCAGTGGGACAGGACCCAAAAATCGGGTTAGGAGGCAATGCTTCTGGTGGATCCTAAACATCATGTATAGAAATCAAAGAGTAAGGGGGTTAAGAAGAGTTATCGTTAGAGGAGGGATAGGTAAAAATGACACGGTGAGTAAACACGCATCTGACCTAAAAAATAGATCTGAACATACATATATACTTGTATTCAAACATTGGCTCAGAGAGATCAGCTGACACTCTCAGCCAAAGAGCTAAGTCTTCCACTGCAAAGCTAAGCTAAGGATGCTAATAGAATTCCTGCTTAGCAGCTTCCTTGTCTCCGTTGTTGGGTTAACACTTCAAATACTCCAATGCCCAAATACAAAAAATAAATAAAGCACTGTTCAATAGATATAACTCAATAAATGCATCAATGCATTCAATTATGCATGTTGTGGGGATATCTATAAAAACAGCTTTCAAAAGCAGCAGATGCCTTGTCTGTAGAATTTGCAAGCCCTCCCCTTCTAACCCCGCCCAGACTTTCTATGGCTGTCCAATCACAGACTTCCCATTGCAGTTCAATAAGAAGTCTTTGCAAGGCAGGTGTTCTGGATAATTGCTGCCTCTTGAGTTTATCTCCACTGGTTAACCAAACCAGAAAGTAATATGATCTGTTGTCTGATTGACAGCCAGGGGTGTAACAAGGTTAATTTATAAAAGTACCAATTTCTATTGAAATCTGCACTTTTTGTAAAATGAAAAAAGGACACACTTTTCAAATAAAACATTTCAGCAAGATAAAGTGCTTCAGGGGTTGGGTTGTCCCTTTAAGTAACTCAGCTTTTATTGAGCAACAGCACCTTTGAACAATATGTTTGGCAGACCACAGTTTGCAATAACCCCAATAAATTTATATATTGGTATGTGAACCCTTTGGAATGATATGGATTTCTGCACAAATTGGTCATTAAATGTGATCTGATCATCATCTAAGTCACAACAATAGACAATCACAGTCTGCTTAAACTAATAACACACAAAGAATGAAATGTTGCCATGTTTTTATTGAACACACATGTAAACATTCACAGTGCAGGTGGAAAAAGTATGTGAACCCTTGGATTTAATAACTGGTTGAAGCTCCTTTGGCAACAATGACTTCAACCAAACATTTCCTGTAGTTGCAGATCAGACGTGCACAACAGTCAGGAGTAATTCTTGACCATTCCTCTTTAAACCATGATGCCCCCACCACCATACTTCACAGTTGGGATGAGGTTTTGATGTTGGTGTGCTGTGCCTTTTTTTCGCCACACATAGTGTTGTGTGTTTCTTCCAAACAACTCCTTTGGTTTCATTTGTCCACAGAATATTTTGCCAGTACTGCTGTGGAACATCCAGGTGCTCTTGTGCAAACTGTAAACGTGCAGCAATGTTTTGTTTGCACAGCAGTGGCTTCCTCTGTGGTATCTTCCCATGAAATCCATTCTTGTTTAGTTTAATCTACGTATTGTAGATTCGCTAACAGGGATGTTAGCATTTGCCAGTGACTTTTGTAAGTCTTTAGCTGACACTCTAGGATTCTTCTTTACCTCATTGAGCAGTCTTCACTGTGCTCTTGCAGTCATCTTTACAGGATGGCCACTCCTAGGGAGAGTAGCAGCAGTGCTCAACTTTCTCCATTTATAGACAATTTGTCTTTCCGTGGACTGATGAACAGCAAGGCTTTTGGAGATACTTTTATAACTCTTTCCAGCTTTATGCAAGTCAACAATTCTTAATCGTAGGTCTTCTGAGAGCTCTTTTGTGCGAGGCATCATTCACATCAGGCAATGCTTCTTGTGAAAAGCAAACCCAGAACTGGTGTGTGTTTTTTATAGGGCAGGGCAGCTGTAACCAACACCTCCAATCTCATCTCATTGATTGGAGTTAGATGTCAGCCAACTGGTGTACAATTAGCTCTTGGAGATGACATTAGTCTAGGGGTTCACATACTTTTTCCACCTGCACTGTGAATGTTTACATGGTGTGTTCAATAAAAACATGGCAACATTTCATTCTTTGTGTGTTATTAGCTTAAGCAGACTGTGGTTGTCTATTGTTGTGACTTAGATAATGATCAGATCACATTTTATGACCAATTTGTGCAGAAATCCATATCATTCAAACGGGTTCACATACTTTTTCTTGCAACTGTATCTGCGGAAATCCGCAGTGTATTACTAGATACATACCCCAACCATAGCTAGACTTGAGTAGACAAGCCTTCATGAATCTTGCTACGTAGAGATATGTAATAAGGTTATTTTATTTAATTTTTGCCCTCTTTTATTACAGGCCTACCCGATACGTCGGTTTCGGCACACCACAACCGACTTGCTCATATATCTAACTTATGATAGATACGGCTTTGGTTCCCGACTACAAATTGGAAGGTGGAGCCTGAAGTTGTGGGAGGGGTCACCCAGCTATTTAAACTTAGGCCCCCTACACCACAGGGCTGATGCTGCTGGGTTCATCCTTCCCACCTCTCCCATTATACATATTACTATTACAGGTGGGCCCTCTTTTATTACAGGCCTACCCAATATGTCGGTTTCGGCAGACCACAACCGACTTGCTCATATATCTAACTTATCATAGATACGGTTTTGGTCCCCGTGGCATGCCGATACTTTTCATCCGGCCATTTTTACTCATTTCTTTCTTGCATTATCATAATATATTCGTTCTTCATGTTACACACATTTTTACATTGCATAGGTACATTTTCAGGGCACAGTTTGTATTTGCATCTTTTGTTCAGTTAGAAACATTAAGTAAACATATGGCACTCACATCGGTTTTTTTTGTTTTTAGCTACCGGTGTAGACGTGCAAAAATTAGTTTTAAGAGTTTACTCGAGTGAATCATTTCTGAAAACTCAGTTAGTTCACAAGCAAACGAAATCAGAATCTTCCAAATTAAAATCGTTTTAAAAAGGTTAATTCAAAGGATTTTGATTGGTGAACAAACTGAATTTTAAGAATCAATTTGTTCGACAATTGGCAGGAATTTTATTTTGACGTTAAATTTATTTTAAAATTACTTTTTGCACATTTACTACAGAGACACATTTAAGAAATGCATATTGCAGTCTTCAAATATGAATCCTTTCTACCAGGCACTTTTTAATAAAAAAAAATAATAATTTACTTAAAACATAGGGTGCACAGATAGCACATAAATACAGGATACAACTCTCACATATTGCTCAATAAATGCATCCACGTGATAATTTTAAACATCCAGAGATTGGTTCCAATATGGCTAGTTGCTCCAATAATCTGTCAAACATTACTTGTGCTGGAGATTCTGGTATTGGGTCATGTGCTTTCATGTATGATTTTGAAGAAATGTTTGAATTCTCCTGATGAACCTGTGACCCATTACCCAAACGAAGGAAGAGCAAAGGTTGAGGAAGTCCAGTGCTCTTGGAGTGGATGTTAATGTAGACATTGAAAGCCTTCTCAAATAAGCGTCTGCAATGAGCAGATACACTTAACCATCAATGGGTCCTACAATGTCAATACAGACTGTGGACACACTAATGGTTTCAGTACTTCTAATACAATTTGTGGGCATTTAGTGTAGACACATTGGAGAAGATGATACAATATTTTCTAAGATAAAGTTCTATAGAAGATAATAAGGTTGCTGACATTGTTGATATGTCACCCAATGTACAGCACTACAGAATGTGATGGCGCTATATAAATAATAAAATAATAATAATTATAATTAAATGTCTTGTATTAAAACTGATGAGAACAAGCCCCAGAAATACCATATATCATTGTAACCATTCTACTCAGTGGTAATCCTTGGTCTGGCCAAAAATGATCAATGGACGCTTATAATCAGTTAGAAACATTAAGGTTTTTCCATACCAATATATGTTTCTGTTATATTGTTGAAGCACGGTCTATTGACTTTCATTACCATCAGGCATTGTGCGCAAAATTTCATGAGGTGTCGCATTGCATGCTGGGAAAATATGTTTGTGTAGATCAGAATGCCACGAAAGAACGGAGTATACAAATCATGCCCTTTAATCATGTATTGAGCCGAATTCCAAGATGGATTGTTATCTAACAATCGCCCGAATTGCTGTATCTCTCCGATAGAGGTAACTCCACCCCAAGTAGTGTCCCTGGGGCATCATTAGACAGCCCAGAACAAGAGTTGTTAATCCTGTGCAAAATTACCACATGAGTTAGTGTTTATTTTGGTATTTTATAAGTTCGGGAGGGGCAGATCACCACAGCAAGGGTTACTTGAGCTAAAACCATTGTTTTATGAGTTGGTGCCAAATAAAAACCTGTGGTGCCAAATAATAACAACTGATTTTTGGGGAACAAAAAGATGATTGATGGTTAGAGGGGAACAGTCACTAAATGTTATTTTATTCACAGATTAAGTGATAGAGGGGAAAACATAAAGAGCATTATATAATATAGAACTGAGATTTTATTTTGCTATTCATCCATTTTTTTTCCTCTATTGGTTCCATTTCCTCAGTTGATCTGTGAACCCAGTTGCAGGAAAAAGATTCTATCAGTGTACTGGAAAATAGATTCATAATATTCATATTATATTATTATATTATGGTCAGATTTTTCAGCCCATGAAATGGCCCATTTTCGCACCTTTTTAGTTTGTTCTCCAGATTTGGTTTCCAAACCACCATTTGGCTGAGCCGAACCGACATTGGATCAAAACTGTCGGCTTAAGCACATTTTCTTGCTGTGCACAAGTCTACCCATTCCCCATGACACACAGATAATCTACCCATTAACCATGAGACACGGATAATCTACCCATTCACCATGAGACACGGACCACGGATAATCTACCCATTCACCATGAGACACGGATAATCTACCCATTAACCATGAGACACAGATAATCTACCCATTCACCATGACACACAGATAATCTACCCATTCACCATGACACACAGATAATCTACCCATTAACCATGAGACACAGATAATCTACCCATTTACCATGAGACACGGATAATCTACCCATTAACCATGAGACACAGACACCGGATAATCTACCCATTCACCATGACAGACACAGATAATCTACCGGATAATTAACCATGAGACCATGAGTCACGGATAATCTACCCATTCACCATGAGACACGGATAATCTACCCATTAACCATGACACACAGATAATCTACCCATTAACCATGAGACACAGATAATCTACCCATTTACCATGAGACACGGATAATCTACCCATTCACCATGAGACACAGATAATCTACCCATTCACCATGAGACACGGATAATCTACCCATTAACCATGAGACACGGATAATCTACCCATTAACCATGACACACAGATAATCTACCCATTTACCATGAGACACGGATAATCTACCCATTCACCATGAGACACAGATAATCTACCCATTTATTATGACACACAGATAATCTACCCATTCACCATGAGTCACGGATAATCTACCCATTCACCATGAGACACGGATAATCTACCCATTAACCATGACACACAGATAATCTACCCATTAACCATGAGACACAGATAATCTACCCATTTACCATGAGACACGGATAATCTACCCATTCACCATGAGACACAGATAATCTACCCATTCACCATGAGACACGGATAATCTACCCATTAACCATGAGACACGGATAATCTACCCATTAACCATGACACACAGATAATCTACCCATTTACCATGAGACACGGATAATCTACCCATTCACCATGAGACACAGATAATCTACCCATTTATTATGACACACAGATAATCTACCCATTCACCATGACACACAGATAATCTACCCATTCACTCATGGTGTCTACCCATTCACTCATGGTGAATGGGTAGATTATCTATGCCTCATGGTGAATCGGTAGATCCTTTGGATCTGATAGGTGATAGGGTGAATTGAAAGATTTCCAGTCTCAATATAAATGGACAGATTTCCAGAATGAATGGGCGGAATATCGGGGTACAATGGAAAATCCCTCATAAATTTTGATGACGAATTGGCCAAATCTGAAGATGAATGGGCAGATTGATTCATTGGTATGAGTGGGCAGTTAAAAAGTTATCATATATGGTCAATAAGAGAATCTAACCTAAAACAAATATATATTATCTGAAAATGTATTTATAACTGTTTTGCTACAATGTGCAGACTGATTTTTGTATCATGAATTCCTGTAGGATGAAAGTCATGATTTCATTTAGCTTTGTTGCCACTGACCATATTAGGAAAAGGTTGTAGGTATCTACCTTATTGGGAAAATCACCGGAGCTCCCTTTAACCTGTAATTCATACAGCAATACAAAGCTGAAGTAGGAATTTAAAGGGAACATACGACTGCTAATACCATAAGCACTTGATGTAAACATGTCCAAGGAAAGTATGTTGCATTTCTCATACCTGTACAAACTGTTCAAGGGCTTTCACATCCAAACATGTGTAGTTCTGGAGGAAACTGAGCTTTGCAACTTGGAACTGGTCCCTTGTACTGGTCTCTGCTGGTTTCTCTAGAATCTGGAACATCATCGCTCCCATGAACAAATACATAAAATAACCTAAAGAAAGCGCAACGGCCAGCATAGTCTGCCGGCTGCACAGATAATCCTGGGACATTCTCGAAGTTTAAAGGCTGTCTTCTCGTGTTTCACTGTTAAGATATTATATATTGAGCCGAACTATCATCTTGACCGCAGTTTATGTAACAATGTTTCTTAATGTCTTCTGCTCCAAGTACTACATAGAAGCCCGTAAGTCAGAAACTATCGGACCCCAATTATTTTCACTTGTCTGCTCTGTAAAATCAAGAGCTGACTCATTTTCCTGAGTGATGTGTCTACGTAATTTCCATTTCTACGACTTGAAATATAAGTTGAGTTAAGATTTGAGCCTTTTTGGCAGAGCCATTGGATTGTGCCCGAGGAGACGTCTTTTAATCCGTGCAGTTGGGTAGCTGTACTGAGACTGTTTTCACTAGTACAGCTCTTGCTGATCACCTGAGACTCTCTGGCACTCTTTCTCTCGCCTGGTTTAACAATTGAAAAACCCCCAGAGCACCTGATAATAACGAGGCTCATATGCCCAAGGAGATAATGGTTAGGCCTCATGCATCATCTGAATAATCAGGAGGAAGGAAGTTGGTTAATTTTTAGCTACTGAGAGACATGTCATGTAGATCACTATGAACAAGGATCTGCCATTAGCTGTGGAGTGGAGTATACAGACAGTTCTTTAAATTTGGATAAAATATCGTAATGTTTTGTTAGATAAAATTACTAGTTAAGAAGAAAATAATCATTTTGAGAGGACAATATTTCAGTCGTTGGGCGTCTATAAATTTTACTACAGATATAATTAAATAACAGGGTCTTTTTTAGTTTTCACAGTGAATGACGGTGTTACTTCATACAGTATGTGTTGCAAACCCAGCTCTCTCAGCTTATTTTTATTTATTATTTTATTACATTTTTGTAGTGGCCACTATTATTGTTAATTAGCCATCTAAACGATGCTATTACACTCTGATTCATAATTTTGTCACCCAGTTCTGTTGTTTATACTGTGAGTGTAGAATCCCTAATCCATCGAATTGACTATTATTTATAATATATTAAATAAGAGTTTTACTAAATAAATTCTAAGGGGTTTACTTACTATAGATAAAGTTGTGGTGAATTTTGGTTAGTAGCAATAGTTAGGCTAAACTAGTCAAACATTGTTTTGACCTAAATATTATAAATTGGTTACAGAGTCCACACGTTTAGTAAATAAATGGATGATTGAGAAAATACACAGTATATTTTAGACCTGCTGAAAAATCAGAAATTTGACCTTCGTTTGGTGATGTTCTTTTCAATCAGGAAGTGGCTGAGATAGTTTAGCCAATAACCCGACGCCTGTGTATCCAGATAGGGGACGTATGCGTGACTAGCAATGTCCCTTCTGCAAGAGATGAGGGCTGACGACTTAGAGGTCATTCACTAAAGTGTGAGTTGTCAGAAATTTTACATTTTATGCCAAAATAGCTGAACTGGAAGCTGACTTAGAGAATTTTTAAATTCAGCTTTTAGGTCTTAAATTTGAAATTTACTTTGAATCCCCAACAATTCTCAATTTAGTAAATAATACCACACTTGTGTATCTTAAGTAGGACACTCCCTATTTTAATCCAAATCCCTCTGTCCCTCTTTTCTCTCCTATTGTCCCTCTTTTCTAGGAGCTCCATATTGTTGGGTTGTCTGAGTATAAAACAGAGCTCCACATCAATAATACTCCCAGTAATGTGTCTGAGTGTATAACAGAGCCCCACCACAGCAATAATACTCCCAGTAATGTGTCTGAGTGTATAACAGAGCCCGACAGCAATATTACTCCCAGTAATGTGTCTGAGTGTATAACAGAGCTCCATAGCGATAATACTCCCAGTAATGTGTCTGAGTGTATACCAGAGCTCCACAGTAATAATACTCACAGTAATGTGTCTGAGTGTATAACAGAGCTCAAGAACAATAACACTCCCAGTAATGTGCCTGAGTGTATAACAGAGCTCCACAGCAATAATACTCCCAGTAATGTGTCTGAGTGTATAACAGAGCTCCACAGCAATAATACTCCCAGTTATGTGTCTGAGCGTATAACAGAGCCCCACAGCAATAATACTCCCAGTAATGTGTCTGAGTGTATAACAGAGCTCCACAGCAATAATACTCCCAGTAATGTGTGAGTGTATAACAGAGCTCCACAGCATACTCCAGTAATGTGTCTGAGTGTATAACAGAGCTCCATAGCAATAATACTCCCAGTAATGTGTCTGCGTGTATAACAGAGCTCCACAGCAATAATACTCCCAGTAATGTGTGTGAGCGTATAACAGAGCTCCACGGCAATAATACTCCCAGTAATGTGTCTGAGAGTATAACAGAGCTCCACAGCAATACTACTCCCACTGGATTTTCAATACACATACGCTTTATCCCTAAACACATACATGACTTCCTCTACAAACACACATGTAACAGAAGCCTCCATTTCCTTGGCACTTGTAGAGGACTGCAGGCCTTGAGCTGTAAAAATGACTCTACATTTTGTGATGGCAGCCCTGGCCATGTGGGTACATCTGATGAATTGCTGCTTGGCTTTTACTGAATACACCCGGCTTCAACTCAGTCCACTGCCGTACAAACGTCTGCTGTCTCACTGTATGTTTAGGGATTTAGACAGATCACACGCGCTTCTTCAAACAAGCATTTATAATTGTAAGAAATCATCTGAACACAAGGCAGGAGAAAGTTTGTTACAATGAAACGAGCAGAGAGAACATTATGAATTAACACATGTAATTAGTTTGATAAACGACTTATCAATGAGATCTCGCTATGAAAGTCTAAAGACAAATGTTTGTGCAGGGTGACAAAAATAACCGCAGTTTCATATCAATAAAGAATGGTTTTCTCCATCACAGGAAATGTTTATTTAAGAAACTTATTTGACTAAACAGAATCTGTAGCTATACATTCCCCTAATATCTTTATATTGATATCTTTATATTGAATATTTGCTCAGCCTTATCAATTCTTCAGTTTTCGGTAACAGCAGGAAACAATCCAGAAATATTGCCATCTTTCATAACTGATTTGGCAGATTCATTGATTTTTTTTCACCCTTTGAGACAAAAGACTTCATGGAATCGGAGATAACGGACTTATCTGTGTCCGTGGTTTATTTGCTTGCGAAAGCTCAGATTCCATTAATCGATTTTGGCTGCAGGATGGTGTGGCAGAATGGTCTCCTGGATAAAGCCTATCCAACGCTCTGATTCTTCCTCACCCTGTTCTTTCAGTGTGCTCTCCTATACATGGACTAACGAAGACAGGACCCAGATCGAGCAAACACAACAACCTGACTTGAACTGTGAACGAAAACAGGATAAAAAAACAAGCACATTTTTTTTTTTTTGCTTGGATCAACAAGCTGGTATTGAGGGAACACTACAAACCCGTAAAGCATATAGACACATCTATGTGTAGCGTGAACATTATTTCAATTTATACAGTACAGAGTTCAGCAAAAATCATCACTTTTATAAATCGATAAATACACTCTTATAAATCACTGCTGAAACACCTCCCTAGTTAGACCACAGATGCTTTTCAATAAGAAGCCTCAGCCGACATAGACAGAAGGTCTGGGCCAAGGGAAGAGGGGAGGGCTTAGAATTGCTGTAGACACTAAATCTGTGCCCCTAAAGAAAACATGCAAAAGAAACTGCATTATTAAATATATATATTTTTACAGGGGATTCTTCCTTTAACACCCATATAAACTATAATAAATACACAATAAAATATTGTTTTTAATACATATGCTGGATGTGATAAAAAAATAAAACAAATATCAGCTTTCCATTGTTGCAGGTGAAATCTCTTTATTTCAAATCTTACTGTATGATCTTTCATCAGTGGTGCAGTCCTGCTAATGAATAGGGCATGATAAATCATTTTATAGTAGTGTATTTATACACAGTTGTAATCAAAATTACTAAACCCCTGTTGAAAATCAGATTTATTGTCAACATTTATATACTTTTAGCTGTTTGCAATGAACACATTAAAGAAAATCAATTGATATTGCTCAACACAATGAATGCTTCAAGTGGTTGTCACAAGCACACCTGGTGCAAGTAATCAAGGGCTTCATTGGTTGAACCAGGTGTACTTGAGCTGGAAAACTTGAAATACCTGAACTTGCTAGGGATTTGTTGAGTGTCATGTTTAACTACATGTTAGAAATATAGCTAAGTCAAGGGAATGGTGCACAGAGTTAAGAGTAGTGATCATCACCCTTCACAAACAAGAAACAGGATACATCTGTTTCCACCACTTGAAGCATTCATTGTGTTGATCTATTTTACTTGCTTCTTTTTTGATTTGTTCATTGCAAACAGCTGAAAATGGGGGTTGAATATTTTCAATTACAACTGTATATATTTATATCTATATTACATTGTTTTCCAGATGCATATTTTGTAATGCTAAAATTATTGTTTTCTTCATAATTTAAATATTGCTCTTCCCTTATTCATTTTCATGATGTCACGACTGAAAGCCTTGAGAGAGATCAATGAATTCCATGTGGTGTCAAGAAACGAAAGAATTCTGTTTTTTTTTTTTTTTTATAGGTTGGGAAAATATTCACCGGCACAAATCAATACTGAATATAACAGTTGATCTCCTTATTCTTCTGAGTCAATAACAATTGACTTCATGGTTTTAGAGAGGCATGGTCACATGTGAGATTGTCATACAAAACGCTAGCTATAGGTTGTGCTAATCTGTTTCAGAAAATCAGATCTCGTTTCAGGAACAGCATCTCAGTTACTTACACCTGCAGGCCCTATGCGAGCTTTAAAGGGACCAGTGATTTTATATATAATATATACAATATACATTAAACATCATTTAAAACTGGCCTTTTACTAAATATCCTATGCACCGTCATTACTGCTAAAGATATACAAAATGCAAATCTTTCCCCTGCTATGCAAATACTGAAATGTAAATGTCCTTTCATCTTATCTAGTCATA